GATTGGCCAGGTGGCAGCATCAAGGACTCAAGCGTGGCAACAGTAGTGAGGTTGGCCCAGGATCAGACATTGTTTCGTTCTGCTGTGCATAAGGTTGCTATGAGTCGGTGCGGGTTCGATGGCACCTAACAACAACAACAATACTAACAATTGGAATTTTCAATTCAGGAAACAGTTTAGGTGCTAAAATAATAGACTTAATGTTTATCGGATGCCAAGTATAGTACCAAACACTTCACATAGTTTATCCTAGTGTTCCTTTGCATCAGACCTATGAGGCACAAACCATTACTGACCCCTGTATGTGAGGTGCCTGATGGGTGCTCACTAAGTATTAGCTCATTCATACACTGACCAGACAGGTGCATAAAGGTGTATAAAGGTAAGGGTGGGATAGGAGTGGAGCGTACAATGAAGGAACACAGCTGAGTCTCAGGAGTGAGACAAATCATTACAGTATGTTCTCTGGGAAAGCCAAATAGCCTCTCAAAGCCTCAGTTTCATCTATGAAGACAGAATAATCAATCTATGTCATGAGTGTGGTAACAGTTAAAGAAATAATGCATGAAAAGGGGCTAGCCCCAGATTTGCACATGAAAGATGCTCAATACATGTTATTTTTCTTCCTAGGGAAAAATATGATCTATTATATGAAGTGAATAAAAGGAAAATAAAATTGAATGGACAGTGAAACCAACTAATACATTCCCTTAAGACCATGATGAGGCTATGCACCCTCTCTCCAAGCATTGCTTTCTTTTTAAAACAGGGAATAATCATGCTGATTTGGTTGAATAGTAGGTGGGGCTCACTATGTCTTCATTCCTCTGCCTGACTACCGCCACATAACAAACTTGTACTTGATGCTGCTTTATCATCTTTTCCTTTTGCTGTGGTTCCCACCAGGCAGACAACTGGCCATAGACCTAAAAGGGGGTAAAGTCTTGGGTGCAACACAGATCAGGAAAGCTCTGCCCAGCCAGATGACCTTGAGTAACAGAGAGGAAGCCCTGTGATCCCTGTGTTATTGAAATCAAGCCCTAGAAATGGATTCATTTTTTAAGAAGAAATAATGAAAAATGTCTTCATTCACAGGAACTTGCACAGTTCAGATGCCAATGGGCTGGTACAGAAGGCACTGGATGCATCAAATGTCTATGAAAATATTGCCAATTATGTTGGTGAAGCCAATGAAACAGCAGAATTAGCTCTGAACATCACTGACCGAATATCTGATGTGAGTATTTCCTTCTTTTAAAGTTTGATTACATGATGCCTTTCCCAGCTTTTGGTTTTCTATTTTCAAATGCCATCTCGTGAGTTTCCAATGTAAAATACAAATGGCAGAAAGTCTGGCTGGGCTAAAGAAAGGCCATTATGTATCTGTTGTGAACATTTCAGTTGGACAAACTCTCTGAAAAGTTTTCTTTAAACAAAGTCAATTAAGAAAATACGTAAGACTTGTTTCTGTTGGTGCTTTCTTCATATGTTTTTAACTAAAATTTATTTATTGAGTGGCATCTATATAGCAGGCACTTGGGTGGAGCAAGAGTACTGGTCTAGGTTCACTGAATTTCCTCAGAAAAATATTTATCTTGAAAATATCAAGGACATTATTTTCTCATATTCACATTTGTTCTTGGTTTTGAGCTATGAAAATAAGCCATATGGATTTTGATTGGTATTTAGCAGATAAACTATGTCATTTAAACCCTCAAACCATGAAAAGCTTTCTTATGCTGTATTTCTTACTCTCTCCACCCAATTCCTTTATAGGCTGTGAGTGGAATTGATACTCAAATCATTTACCATAAAGATGAAAGCGACAACCTCCTCAATCAAGCCAAAGAGCTGCAAGCAAAGGCAGATTCTAGTAAATATCTTTCCTATTTTCCTATTCGTTGATAGCCATGCGTGCCCACTCTCTCACACACACAGCCTTCCTCACAGTATTTCTGCATGTAGCAGAAATTTCAAATTTCTAGGAATAAAGAATAAATTGTATCAAAACAGAATCATACATTATTAGTTTCTGTTCAAGAAACCCTAGTGGCATAGTGGTTAAGTGTCTGGCTGCTAACAGAAAGGTCTGCAATTTGAACTCAGCAGAGCCCCTCAGAAGAAAGATGTGTCCGTCTGCTTCTATAACTATTTAAAGCCTTGGCAACCCTAGGGAGCAGTTCTGCTTGGCCAGATAGGGTTATGAGGAGTCAGAACTGAAGTGATGACAATGGTTTTGTTTGGGTTGGGTTTCAGTTTCTCTTGAGAGTCAAATATTGGATGTTTTAAGATAAATTGTGGTTTAAAAAATCCATATAATAAAACATCAACGTATATGAGCATATGGAAACATATCATTCATCATATGTTGGATATCTTTGTTAATCAAATAGGGTGATTTGTACAATTTGCCATGAATACCAGTTTTTAAAGAGATAATGCCATAAATCATATTTAACACTAAAACTGTTGGTGGGTGGTGGTGGTTGCTATACAATCAATTCTGACTCACGACCCTATGTGTGCAGAGTACATTTTCAAGGCTGTGACCTTTGGAAACTACATGGCACATAATTTAATCTCTCTTGGACAATTCAGAAGGCCCGTCACATTTTTACCGTGAAGAGATTCGGCATCACTCTGACCATCAGTTAGGATAATAGGGTACCCCAAAGTTGTCTAGTTCTTTGCACTTCCTTGTAGTTTGTCCTCTACATAATTGTAGTTAGTGATAGTTAAGTGCCATCAAATCAGTTGCAGCTCATAGCAACCCTGTATAGGGTTTCCAAGAAGCACCTGATGAATTTGAACTTGGTTCAAACAGACCTTTCACTCCAGTGCTTGTCCTACAACACCACTTAGAACAAGCTTAATGTTCATATGGAAAGAAGCAAACACATCTGAGAGGGTGGGAGATGGAGGAGGGGAAAATGGAATTATTTCAGTCTGTTTTGAATCTTATGAATTATTCTTAAAAACATGTGAGTAGATTAAGAATTTCACTAAACATCACTCATTTCTGAGGTAGTAAATTTATTCCTAAAGCTATCTGAGCAATGACTAATGAGATTGGAAATTCATTATCTAGTTGGTTTCTAACTACCACATGAAAACAAAGGTTAAGCTTGAAAGTGAAAACTTCACATAATCATATCAAAGCAATTAATCTCATGTCTGAACTTCCTTTTTTTTTTACAGGAGTCACAATACATGAAAACAATTGTATTTTGCTTTTCATCTAGAACACTTAACTATTTAATTACCATGAAACAATTAGCATTTTGCTTTCTGAGTAAACAAAGGCAATCACAAAGCTTTTAAATTTCCCTAATCTAATTAATTCTGTAACTCTCATTAATTCGTTGTATAAATCCAGGCTTAAAGTTGGTGGTGGTAGTGTGCCGTGGAGTTGGTTCTGACTCATAGCAACTCTGTATAGGGTTTCCGAGGCTGTAAGTCTTTACGGGACCAGAAAGCCTCATCTTTCTCACATGGAACAGCTGATAGTTTCGAACTGCTGACCTTGAGATTAGCAATCCGACTCATAACTACTATGCTACCAGGTACTCATTAAAAAATAACTCGAATTTTAGTAAATACTAGAATAAGAGCAAAATATACTTAAGTAAATATTGCTATATTATGTATCACTTTGTTTCTTCTTGTGTTGTGAAAATTCAAATATGTCATTTTCATAATGGAATGGCTTAAATAATTCATTCTCTTTGATAACTTGTAGTATATTTTCTCAACTCTATCATTATTGAGTTATTAAACCTCATAAAAGCATGTTTTCTATGCTGGGAATGACATATCTTCTAAGTTTATGTTTTGTGCCTAGGAAAATCCCTCTGCATCAGCCTCTTTGAATATTTTGTAGATCTGGTCACCTATCTCATAACCTTACTTGGTTAAATCTCTTCCTATATGCACCTACAAAAGGGATGGGGATCTAGGACAGTATGACTCAGAACTGCATAGGGCCACTTCCCTTAGTACACATGTTTAGATAACACACATTTGTATTATAAATTTAGGATTTCAAATTGAACTGTATTCATCTACAGAATTGCACTATAATTTCAAACTACCTTTTTCATTTCTAAGTGATTTTCAATGATTAGTAATCTTTGTTTCCCAACATTCCTTTTCTTCATTATTTATATCAACTAGATTAAAGTCTATAATAAGCTCAAAAAACTGATATTTAAAGGAGCTTTCTACTGAATATTTGTAACAGAAAAGTGTTCATGTAAGACAGTAATTCCCAACATAGCATGTTTTTTATGAACATTTCTTCTTATGAACATCCAGTCCAAAATAGATTTTTCTTTCCCCTATTTTTATCAAAAGTACCAAATATAAACTCAAATATGATCTTTCTCAGTGTTTTAGCCACTGCTTTTTGCAGTCAGAAAATCCAAAAAAAGAAAAGATAACAAATTGTAACATCACGGTATTCAAAATTTGAGATGAAATGAAAAGGAGAGAGACTGCAATGTAACTACAAAGTATGTTAAGTCCCTCCTTGCATTCTGGGAAATGATCCGCATTCGTCACAGTAAATATGGGGAGTGCAGTGGCTCTGTAGGATAATCACTGAACTGTGAACCACAAGATCAGTGGTTTGAGCCCATCAGCCATTCCACGGGAGAAAAATGCAGTTTTCTGCTCCTGCAAAAATTCACAGCCTCAGAAACCCTATACAGGGTCGCTATGAGTCAGAACGAACTCGATGCCATGCAACAACAACAACATCCATAGTAACTACGATAGAAGTGATTTTACTGGTTACTCTATATGTGGCGACAGTATCAACTAGGCACCAATCAAATGTACACACATGTGTACACAAAGAGAGACAACTAACAACGGCCCAAGCACCCAAGAGAAAGTGCACCATGGGAGAGTGTATACTTACAATGCCATTGGAGAGAAGGAAGAGAGTATAATGAAAAGCAAAGACGTTATCTTGCTGTCTATCAAGAAACTTAGGTTTCAGATGCTTTAGAAGTAGAAAAGGCATAAATAGAAAAAAAAAAAAAAAGAGTTATTAGAAAGCTTGATCTTTCCATTTAGGCGGCAAAATAATACATCATAAAGTGTTTGGATTTGCTCAAAAAGTTACCCCGGTTCAGGTACTGTGCCACCAGCACACTTCCAATAAATAATTTTTGTGCAAAAAACACAATTCATCAAACCTAATTCAAGAGTAGAAAATCTAGACAGAGCTGTATACACACATGCACACACATATTACAAGAAGTTTAGTCAGCAATTAAACTGCTTCAAAACAAACCTCAAGCCTCAGATGGCTTCACCAGTGAATTCCTCCAAACACATAGAAACAAATAGTGCCACACCAACACAGACAAGACAGATCTAGAAACACACTTCAGCATATTCTATGAAGCTGGCAAAACTTACATACCAAAGCACGACCAGAAAATTACAATAACATGAAACTTATAAATCAAATTAACTCATAAACACAGATGCGAAAATCCCAGTGGAGGCACTAGCAAATCAAATCTAGCATACAGAGAAACGATAATAAATCACAGCTAAATTGAGTTCATTCCAGGATTTAAAGGATTGTTTCACATTTAAAAAATCTGTTATAATTCACCACATTCACCGGAAGAAAAGGAGAAAACTCATAAGATCATGTCATAAGATGCAGAAATGTCATTAAAAAAAAAAAAAACTCTTAGCAAACTAGCAAAAGAAAGAAACTTCCTCAATCTGATAAAAAGGAATAAAATCATGTTCAGCAAACATATTAATTCTGAAATATTGAAAACTTTTCTGCTCGGATTGAAAATAAGGATGTCCCTCGTTACTAATTTAACATGTAAAACTCCAGTTTATTCTACATATAACAACTGGAAAATCAACTCTTTAAAAAACGAATGTCCTTTATAATAGCATCAAAAATAGCAAATATGAAAAAAGTAACAAATATGTACACATAAATCTGAAGGAAGATGTTAAAACTCCTAAATATAAAACTGTAATACGTTGCCACAAGAAGTTGAAAGGCTGGCAGTTCAAGCTCACCAGCCGCTCCTCAGAAATCCTATACAGGGTCGCTATGAGTCAAAGCCAACTCAATGGTACATAACAACAATAGTATACTGAAATGTGCAAAGATCTGAAATTAGAAAACCGAAAGGGAAAAAACACACACAGCATTTCTCAATCTGAAAGAACTGAGGAAAAAAATTCAAGGCTTGACTTGAAATACTGAAGGATTCTTTGGGCAAAATATTAAATGATGGCAGGAAACATCAAAAGAAGATGGATGGAATAAACAGTGTACCAAAAACAAATGATCGATATTCAACCATTTCAAGAGATAGCATATGATGCAGAGCCAATGGTACTGAAGGAAGAAGTCCAATGTACACTTAAGACATTGGCAAAGAACAAGGCTCCAGGAATTGATCGAGTACAAACTGAAATCCTTCAGTAAACTGATGCAACCCTGGAAGCACTCATTCATCTATGCCAAGAAATTTGGAAGATAGCTACCTGCTCAAATGATTTAAAGAGATTCATATTTGTGCCCATTTCAAAGAGAGGTAACCCAGTGGAACGTGGAAACCATCAGACAATAACACTTGCAATTAAAATTTTGCTGAAGATAACCAGAAGGCAACTGCAACAGGATATTGATGGGGAACTTCCAAGAGATTCAAGCTGGATTCTGATGAGGACATGGAAACAGGGATATCATTGCTGACATCAAAATGGATCTTGGCTGGAAGCAGAGAATACCAGAAAGATTTTTACCTATGCTTCATTGACTATGCAAAGGCTTTCTGACTGTGTACCATGACAAGTTATGGACAATATTTCAGAGAATGAGTATTCCATACACTTAATTGTGCTCATGAGGAAGCTGTACATAGACCAAGAAGCAGTCATGCGAACAGAACAAGAAAACACTGAATGGTTTTAAATCAGGAAAGGTATGCACCAGGGTTGTTTCCTGTCACCATACTTATTCAATCTGTATGCTGAGCAAATAATCTGAGAAACTGGATTATATGAAAAAGAGTATGGCATCAGGATTGGAGGAAGACCTAGAAACAATCTGAGATATGCAGATGATCAACTTTGCTTGCTGAAAATGAAGAGGACTTCAAATATTTACTGATGAAAATCAAAGACAACAGCTTTTGGTATGGGTTGCAACTTAAATTAAAGAAAACAAAAATCCTCACCATTGACCAATGAATAACATCATGATAAATGGAAAAAAGATAGAAGTTGTCAAAGACTTCATTTTGCTTAGATCTACAATCAACACTGATGGAAGCAGCAGTCAGGAAATCAAATAACATATGATTAGACAAATTTGCTTCATAAGACCTTTTAGAATCCATTTTGACTCATAACATACAGATCTTTTTTCAACTCTACACATACATATATATATTGTTGTTAAGTGCCATTGAGTCAGTTCTGACTCAGTGACCCTGTATACAGTTTCTGTGGCTGTACATCTTCATAGGAGCAGAAAGCTTCCTCTTTATCCTGTGAAGCAGCTAGTGGATTCAACTGCTAACCTCTCAGTAACCTACTACACTGCCAGGACTCCTTTATAGCTACGTATGTTTTTGTTAAGTGCTGTGGACTCAGTTCCGAGGAACAGCTAGGGGTTTGAAGCCATGTATGTTGTTTTTGTTGTTAAGTGCCATCGAGTAGGTTCCAACTCATAGCTAACCTGTGTGGGATTTCCAAGGAGCAGCTGGTGAGCTTGAACCACCAACCTTGCAGTTCAAACCAACCTTATGGTCCACTGCTTATCCTACACTGCCACAATTATTTTATTGAAACAATTGAGGAAAAAAAGCTCTGGTAGCGCTGTAGGATAAGCACTGGATACTAACCACGGGGCCAGTGGTTCAAACCCACCAGCCACTCCTCAGAAACCCTATACAGGAGCACTGTGAGTCAGAACTGACTTGACAGCACTTAATAACAACAACAAGTAACCACAAGGTCAGCAGTTCAAGCTCACTAACCATTCAGTGGGAGAAAGAGAGGCTTTCTGCTCCCATAAAGATTAAACACCTCTGAAACCCTATACAGAGTCACTATGAGTTAGAACTGACTCAATGGCACTTAACAACAACTATATATATGTATATATGTATGTATGTATGTATAGAGTTGAAAAGAAACGATCTGTATGTTCTTTTCTTCTCAGCTGTGTATCAATTGTGTTGCTAGATGCTTTTGTTACAGCACTGCAATATTTATTTATCAAATCAAAGAAATCTCCCATTGCCTGTGTACCCTTTATGAATCACTTTATTGTTGTTGCCATCCAGTTGGTTAGATGCAGTCCAGTCGGGTCTGACTGATAGTGACCTTATATAGGGTTTACTTTTAACAGTCCTATAGATGGTTTCCAAGGCTGTAAATCTTTATGGGTGCAGAAAGCTCATCTTTCTCCCCAGAACAGCTGGTGCATTCAAACTGTTGACCTGTGGTTAGCAGTCCAACACATAACCCACTATACCACCAGGGTTCTTTATGAATCACCTTATAAAATCCTAAATCACTCCCAACTTGTTTTAAATGCCTTCTGCAATCATAAACACACTTTTCCAGATCTGGTGATTTGTGTTCAGAGTATTCAGAGTACTGAAGATGATTCCGTGGTACAAATCGGATTTTCCCTTGTTGAAACAGAGACTTCTTAGCGGCATCTTAGCCTCACTAATATGTTTTTGTGCTTCTTCCCCACAGACAATGATGAGGCAGTAGCTGACACCAGCAGGCGGGTGGATGGAGCCCTGGACAAGAAGAGTGCCCTTAAAAACAGGTTAAATAATGCCATTAAGCGCCTACAAGCAGCAGAGAGAGGTAAGGACCACAGTTAGAGCCTCTGTTTGATCACTGGGATGTAAAATCAACCTTTGAGAGGAATACTACTTACCGCTTTTTATGGATAAACCTTTTTGTTGTTGTTCATAAAAGAAACTATGTTCATTACTAAAACAAGTTGTTCTAGAAAGTAAAAAAGAAGAAAAAAAATATTAAAAACACAATCACACTACTTAACAATGTTCTTCCAATTTTTTTCGGTGTGTGTGTGTAAATGGAATCATGCTAGTTACAAATTTGTCCTAATTTGTTTACTGCCTTTCTCTTTCCCTCAGCTGTAAAACAGCTTCCCCCTGTTATATGCCACACTATTCTTGTCATATAAACAGGAAGGTTAATATGTCTAATCTAGGACTACCGTGACATTTTACATGTGACTGAAAGCAGATGTGCCTTCACAAGCCTAGAAAAACATACCACTGCAGGCTGTGGGTGTTCTGGAATCACTGGATGGTACAACCATCCATGGTACAACACGATCAGTTGCTGACCAAAAAGCTTGGAGATTTGAGTCCACATTTCTTTGGAAGAAAGCCCTGATGATTTGCTGCTGAAAAATCAGCTACTGAAAACCTATGGAGCACAGCTCTCCTCTGACATACAATGAGTAGGATCAACTCAGTGATAACTGTTAGTTTTGCTAAAAGGAACAAATCCTAGCAGCAGTGCTATACTATACTAAAGTTCAGGCCAGGGGACTATGTGTTGACTAGTCTAATCATCAGTGTCCCATGTATCACTATGAACACTCAGGATCAGCACTGGACCTCACCACAAGGTTGGCGGTTCAAACCCACCCGCCATTCCTCAGAAACCTGATACAGGTTGGCAATGAGTCGGAACCGACTCCACGACACTTAACAACAACACAGGCCCAGCACTATGCTAAGTGTTTTGCATACATTACTTCCTGTGAGATAAGTATGTTGTTGTTGTTAAGTGCCGTCTAGTTGATACGGACCCATAGCGACACTGTATAGGGTTTCCAAGAGGCAGCTGGTAAGCTTGAACCATGGACCTTGCAGTTCAAATGACTTTGCAGTCTGACTCATTAGACTACAGTGCCACACCGGAACTCTGAGATAAATTCCCATCCTGACAAACCTTGAGATTCACATGGGCCTAAAATCGATAAACTATGCTTATCTCTAAGCTAAGCTTAAGGATGGGACTTTCCTCCAAAAGACATAACTAGTAAGAAGCAGAGCCAGGATTCAAATCCACATTCGGCAGAATTCAGGACATGTAAAGTAGAAGGAAAGGAGCTCTGGTAGTGTAGTGGTTACGAATCAGACTGTGAGCCACAAAGTCAGCAGTTCGAAACTACCAGCTGTTCGAACAGCGGGAGAAAGATGAGGCTTTCTGCTCCCGTAAAGATTTACAGCCTCGGAAACCCTGTACAGGGTCGCTATGAGTCGGAACCGACTCCACGGCACATAACCAACCAACCAAAGTAGAAGGAAATCTTTCTCCACTTTAAGATTTTCGAAGTTATAATACCCACTGGAATGATTTTGAATTTTTTTTATTATGGTAATCATACATGACCATTATAAAATAATTCAACAAAAAAAAAGATAAGTAAAAGAGGCGGGGAACCTTTATAAATCCATCACCTAGGAAAAAAAATTAGTAAACAGTAAATTATTTTTATTTTAAATATCTAACTTTTAAATGGAGCATGGTGGCTGTGTAGGATAACCATTAGACTGCAAACCACAGGTGAGCAGTTTGAGCCCACCAGCTGCTCCACAGGAAAAAGGTGAGACTTTCTGACAGACTCTTTATGATGCCTCATAGGCACTTAACAACAACAAACTTTTAACATGAAAATGAAATTTCACTCTATATGCTCTTTTGAAAACTGTTTTACTTTTTTCAAAAGTACCTGTCCTTAATCATTTACTTTTACACTATAGCATTATTTTGAAAGCAAAGGTGTTCCACAAGAATACATTTTACATAGAATAAAGTGATATTTAAATGAATTTCAAACACGAACATCTCAAGTTAATGTCTTACATGTATTTTCTATGGTTTTCTCACCAGGCTACTACTCTGAGGAAATTATCCCACTTATTTTTAAAATTTACCTCTTAATTTGAAGGTGTTTTTAGTGAGCTGTATGGCTTTAATGAGACTTTAGTCTTTCAAATTCACTCATTAATATTGCTAATAATTTTCCTGTACACCTGAATTATACCATAATTTGCATATATTTAAAGATATTAATTTTGCTTGAAAGCCCAAAATGTAAGGTCTGTTTTATCCCAGTGACTAAATGGGTATGAATGCTCCCACATCCCTGCAAAGTGAACCCCTTGTGCTCTGTGTGAAGGTGATGCTCAGCAGCGCCTGCATCAGTCCAAGCAGCTCACAGCAGAAGCTTTCAGGAGGACGATGGAGGTCCAACAGGCTGCCACCCCCATGGCTAACAATCTAACCAATTGGTCCCAGAATCTGCAAACATTTGACTCTTCTGCTTACAACTCTGCAGTGGACACAGCAAGAGATGCAGGTATCACTTAGGAGCTTCACAATTTGGATTCCATTGAGGGATTGGCCATTAAACTCAACAACCATTTGTTAATAACTTTTTGTTTCATTTGGGTTATGAATTGAAATATTATAGAAGTTCACTTAGAAAAGCAGATATATACATTTTTTCTTAAGTTTGTCCAGCAGAAATAAATTGTATATATTTCACATATTTATAGATTAGTAAAAAGTCTTAATTTTTTAATGTGAGATAATGGTAGCAATTATTTTCTTTGATATCATCGGCACTGATCATTTGGCGGGGGAAGGCCAATTAAGTGTTAGTGTGTAAATCATCTTAACAAAGTACTGTTAAATTTTACGGGAAAATATGTACTACACTGCATTGTTTTTGCCTTACGTGAGTAAAGCAAATTATTACCAACAAGTAGAGAATATGGCCAAATATAACCCAGTTTCCCATTCAGAACAGTTTATTGGCTAACTTGAACATACAAATTTATACCAGAAATATTTTATGTCTACCTAATTTATCCAATTATGTAAACATATTTAAAATCATATATTACTCAAATACTGTATTACTTGGATTTTTTCTTTTTTTATTCTCACATATGTATTTAGTCTCCTCATGTATCTTTTAAATATCAATGTCTTTGTCATGATTACAGCCTTTGATTTAATTCATTAACATGGTTTTATAGACCATATTAAGTCAGTTCCAACTAAATTGTTTAAGCTAAATTGTTAACAGTTTTCTGAATCTATATATCTTCTTTTCTGACACTTCAAGTTTTTATCCCAAGTCACAAATTCATAAATAACCATTCTTTTGGCATGAAGATGGGTCTTTTATATATATATTGAGTATCTGTACATGAGTTCTACAGTTTAACCACTCATTTAATTGCTTTTCAAAAATGTTCCTTAAAAGGTTTGCCTTAATGACACCCTTATGATCTGTGTTATTTTCTATATGTATATTATACATTTAAAACAACTTTTTTAAAATGCCATATGATCTGCTCTGAGCCCTTCAGCCATGGCTGTCCACCTTCATCTTGACACACCTGCCACTTTCCTGGTTGTGTGTGACCTTGTGTCTTCTGTCTAGCTCTGTCTCTGTGGGGACTGTAGCAGCGGTAGTGTGATGTGTGACTGGACACTCGGGAAACCACCATTCCACATCCTGTTGGAGCCTCCCTTTAACCAGGCATATCCCTTAGAACTTGGGCTATCTGGTTAAAGGAGCATCTGTGTATTTGTCATGGGCCCTGCTCTATAAAAATGTACATGGTATGATTCAATAGTGAGCAATTATTATCATGATTAATTGTGATGGTCACAATTTTAAAGGTAGAAGTTTTGTAGAAAACACAGGGGAGTACTTAATCTTACAGTCCAGAAACAAGGGACCCTAGGATTATAAAGGGAGAAGAGCACAAGCAGAATGAGAGACCTTATCCAGAGAAGCAGCGACACTAGAGATGGAGACAGAGATGGGGACATGGAGAGAGGGAGCAGCTGAGAACTTTAGATTTATGGGAAGAGAGGGACTGAGAGCTGACAGCCAGGAGGCAGATTTTCAGAATGTGCCCTTTGTGGTGTAAATTATTATATATTCCTGAGTGTTTAAAAAGCTAAAGTGAATAGGGAGAAATACTGTTAACTGATGGTACATGGAAGGGATTAGGGAGAAATACTGTTAACTGATGGTACATGGAAGGGATTACAATCAATGTAATGAAACAAAGTAAATGATTTGTTGAATGTAAAACTGATGATCTGCCCTGTAAACTTTTAATCTATCCAAATAAAAACCTTAAATTAAAAAAATAAAGAAAAAAAATGTACATGGTTAGTTAGCTTGATCTGCATGCAATATATACATCAATATGAACTAGAAGAAGTGTCACAAAATTGGCATTGATTAAGCTTTGATTAAGCTGTTATTTTTGTAGGCTAGAAAACAACTTGTTCTACCAGTTTTAATCATATGCTTCTTAATTCTTCATCAGATTACTGAAATAAATTTGATATTGAGATATTTACTCCAGTGATTTCTTTGTTTAACTGTAGTAAGAAATCTGACAGAGGTTGTTCCTCAGCTCCTGGATCAGCTTCGTACTGTCGAGCAGAAGCGGCCTGCCAGCAATGTTTCTGCCAGCATCCAGAGGATCAGAGAGCTCATTGCTCAGACCAGAAGTGTTGCCAGCAAGGTATCCAATGAATGGAGTCATTGATCACTCAGTGATAAAGAGGATATGAAGCTAAGCTCCAACTCCTCAGGCAGCTTCCAACATTTAGATGCTTTATACTCTATGACTCAATGTGGTAGTTCTCAACCCCTACTGTTCATTAGAATCACATGAGGAGCCTTGAAAAATAAACCAATTCCTGGTTCTAACCTCAAAGCAATAAATCAGGCAATGTAGAGGGAGGGCCCAAATAGCAACAAATAACTAAACCCATTGTCGTCCAGTTGGTTCCAACTCATGGTGACCCCACATGTCATATGAACAGTCCCATAAGGTTTTCTTAGCTGCAATTTTTATGATTCATGAAACTACTGGTTGGGTTTGAACAACACCAACCTTGAACTCAGTAGTCAATCACAAATTGTTTATGCAACCCAGGGAGCAATGAGAGGAAAAACTCAGGGACCTCCCTAGTTTCAAAGCTCCCCAGGTGATTCTTATATGTAGCCAATGTTAAGAGCTACTGAGTTAATCTGGCCAATGAAGTTAATATAGCAAAAGAAATCAAGGAAAGTCAACACCAATAGAAAACTCACTTCTTTATTTTATTATTATTCATTTATCTTAACAGATGGTATTTGTAATTGTCATATGGAATAACCTTATCCACCTGTTATACCTATTCAAGAAATCCTCTGGTACAAAATGTATTATGTAAAGGTTTTACTGACTAGAATCACATAATGGCTAAGCTGTATAAACTTAGCAAAGACTCTGTGTTGAGAGGTTTATACAGAAATAAGTCAACAACACCTAACAAGAGCCAGCATTGGTAGGAAATTTCCTGACACAACAATTAACATTTTCCATTGCAGTAAAACAGGGCTTGTTCTTTAACCCATTTTAATTTGTTGTTGTTGTTTTTAATTATTTAAAGATCAGAATAATTTTACAACCAAAAAAATAAGGTTTTAATTTCTCAATAGAGATGTTACTTATACAGCTTCCTTGGCCCTAATTACTGACAAAAATATAAAAAGAGTTTAAAACCAACTATTTTATAATGAAGGAGACTATTTTTGGTAAATATTCCTAAGTTTTAAATGATGTACAATAAATGGCCCAGTATCCTGGTATGGTGCTTTAGGACAAGCGCTGGACTGCTAATTGCAAGTTCGGCAGTTCAAACCCACGAGTCGTTCTTTAGAAACTCTATACTAGGTCACTGAGTTGGAACCAATTCAATGGCACTTAACAGCAACATTACAAATTACCTGATTTAGATACCTGGGTGACCATTTCAAAAAAGGTTTATCATAAAAGTACACAAAGAAATGGCATTCTCAAGGCTAGTTTCCTGTGGGTGCTTTCTTGTCATTCTATTTATATGGAATAGAATTTTAGGGGCTTAATTCCCGAAAACCAGGAGACCCTATTTCTAGGAACTTCCTCATTTCACCATAGTGAGATATTTTCCGTGAGATATGCATCCTTTATAGGCTCTCAAATTGTACAAAAAGATTTAAATTCTACATACAACTTGATTATTTCATAATATTTATAAGTAAAGGTGTGGAGGTGTGGAGGAGAGGAGAACTCAGAGACCCCTATCAGGAAGAAGGATTCCTATTGAGAGCTGTGGGGAAGTTAGGGAATTACACAATCTACTCGTTTATGCAGAGCACTTTTAATGAAACCATCTTGAAACTCCAGATTCAAGTTTCTATGATGTTTGATGGCCAATCAGCCGTAGAAGTCCACCCCAGAACCAGTGTGGATGAATTAAAGGCCTTCACATCTCTGAGTCTGTATATGAAACCTCCTGTGAAGCAGCCAGAACAGAGTGGGACTGCCGACCAGTTTATTCTGTACCTCGGAAGCAGAAACGTAAGAGTTCCCTTTTAGAATGGGGTGGGAGGTGCTTCAAAGGAAGATCATTGCTTTTATGGTTCCCTAAAACAAAACTTCTTATGTAAACAAATTAAATTCCCATTCTAGCAAGGCTAAATTAATGGTTTGAGGAGAAGAAAGACCTTCTCCATATGGAATCTTTCTGGAGTTGCTTCATATCAGCATCACACTATTAATGTTGAGTATGAATCTAACATTTCAAAGACCTTCAGGATAACAGCTGCCTATCTGTATATGTCTGATAGTGCATCCTGTTTGAAGATACATAACCAGTTTCTGTGGAGACAACTCCCAACTCATGTTGACCCCATCTGTCACAGTTAAACTGCTCCACAACTTTTTCAAATACTGACTGTGTTGTAAATATGATTATTATTGTCAGGCCTTCCTTTCAAGATGTTGCTGAGTGGACTTAAACCTCCAACTTTTTGGTCAGCCCTCAAGCATGTTAACTGTACCACCCAGGAATTCCTGACGATACATAGGGGTTGGTATTGTCAGGCAACATTAGATCTCTGGGTTCTCAAACAGCACTAGCACATTCCTGTCAGCCATTTAATTCCCACAATCCTGTAGTTGCTTAGGTCCATGGTGCACATTAGAGCAAACACAAGAGATGGCAGATGCTGATGTAGCCACAGTGAGTCTCTAAAGGAAGATCCACTGACCAAACAAGAACTTTGGGTAATAATTCATATCAGGAGGCCATTTTATATAGCTAAACTTTTGGGTTGCTGATTTTCCTTCAAAAAAATGAAAATAAAACATATTCATTATTTTATTTAAGTAACTTCTTAATATTTCAGGCCAAAAAAGAGTATATGGGTCTTGCAATTAAAAATGATAACCTGGTATACATTTATAACCTGGGGGCCAAAGATGTGGAGATACCCCTTGACTCCAAGCCAGTCAGTTCCTGGCCTGCTTACTTCAGCATCGTCAAGATTGAAAGGTAAATGTGTCCATGATGCAGGGTTTGCATGCATGTTTTATAAGAAATATATTGAATGCATTCATACTCAGTCTTCCTAGTGATCACAACTAGCATTTCATTCTTTCTTCCTGAATTCCTTCCCAAACACCTTTGTGCAAAAGAAAATATTAGAAATGGTCATAATAGCAAGCTGATTACTAGATCTTTACTTGGCCAATCTATGAATTAATTACAATACAGATCGAGAGAGATAAATAGCTGCCAATGTTGACTCTGACTCATGGTGACCAGTCCTGTGTCTTCCTCATGATCACCAGCATGATCAAGTCTGTTATTGCAGATACTGAGTCACCCTCACTGACCCTCTACTCTAGCAAAAACAATGTCCTCCTCTAGAAGTTGATCCCTCCTGATGACATGTCCAAAGCAATCAAGTCAGACAATGTTCTTTTGTAATTCATAAGTTTTCACTGGCCAGTTTTCAGAAGTAGATCACCAGTTCTTCCTTTCTAATCTGTCATAGTCTAGAAACTCTGCTGAAACCTGTCCACCATGGGTAACCTTGTGGGTATTTGAAATACAGGTGGCATAGCTCCCAACATCACAGCAATATATACCTGCCACCACAGCATATGGAAAACTGACAAAACAGGTGGTGGGAATTCTAATACCGAATGCCTTTTTATCCCCTTCTCAGTTCATAAATGCTTATTAACAAGATAAAATCAAATCACCAACTTTGTGATAAGAGAATATTAATACTATTATATTAGCAAACACACACTTTCTATAAATTACCTGGTTAATAAAGAGTAGAAATAATTTATCTTAACAGGATCGGAAAGCATGGAAAGGTGTTTTTAACAGTCCCGAGTCTAAGTAGCACCGCAGAGGAGAAGTTCATTAAAAAGGGAGAATTTACAGGTGAAGACTCCTTGCTGGATCTGGACCCTGAGGATGCTGTGTTTTACCTTGGTGGGGTGCCTTCAAATTTCAAGGTAAGACACCCAACTATATTTTGATACTATAGATATGCAGTGTTTGCTTTTATAAATGTACGAGACCCCATTGTGATAGGAAGGGATCTGATGATCATTTTAAGGAAGAGTTCAGCTCAATGAGTGGTAGAAAACTCGGAAGCAAGACTGTCAATTTGGTGTTATCAGTGCACTCTCTACTGCCTATTTTTTCAGATGTCAAATGCTTTCAAGCAATAGCTAACACTTGAGGACCAACTGATTTCATTCCAATGCAGGCAGCTGTAATTAATGTTGCCCCACCTGCTGCGGGAATGTCTGTGTCTTGTGAGTGTCCCTACAATTTGGATCTAGTCTTCAATGTTTGAGATTACAGTTTCAAAAACTCCGGTTTCTCAGCTAATACAGGCATGAAATAAGATGTCAGGAATGAGGGTTTGTGAAACTTGAGGGAGAGTTTGCCACCTGATGAAGCCTATGAGAAACAGATATCCACATTTCCACTTATGGGGCAGTAACCCTGGCCCCCAAACTGGAACTGGTGGCTTAAATTAACCTTCACCTGTTAATCATTGAGACATAAACTGAATAAATTTAAGGCAACTTTGTTATTTTTATTTATCATGATTGTTTTGATTCAGGGTCCAGAACCACAACAGATATCTCAACTATGAACATTCCCTAGTTCCATATGTCTTGTTGTTAAGTGACACCAAGTCATTTCCAACTCATAGTGAACCTGTATAGGGTCTCTGAGAAGAGGCTAATGAGTTTGAACCACCAACCTTGTGCCACACAGTCTCCAGTTTTATATATGTTGTTGTTAAGTGCCATAGAGTAGTTCCAACTCATTGCGACCCTGTTTAGGGTTTTCAAGGAACTGCTGGTGTGTTTGAACTGGCAACTTTGTGATTCAAAGTCCAGTATTGATCCTACAGTGCCACACCAGGAGTCCAGTTCTATATATGGTGGTGGGTTTGTGAAGTGGAGTCAATTCTGATTCTTAGCAATCCTGTATTGAGTTTCTGAGACTGTAAATCTTTGGTGGCGATGGTGTGCTGTGGAGTCGATTCCGACTCATAGTGACCCTGCATAGGGTTTCCGAGGCTGTAAATATTTACTGGAGCAGAAAGCCTCATCTTTCTCCCACAGAATCGCTGATAATTTCGAACCGCTGACCTGGAGGATAACAGCCCAACTTGTAACCACTACACTAATATTTTTTTCTCTTGATGTGGATGATGATGATAGTTTTCTAATAATGCCAAATAGACATTTTGGCCACAATATCATTAGCTTATTTTAGGCTTGTATGAAGTATGCACTCTAAGTGTAAGGTACTGGTTGGAAAGTATGAAAATAAATTAATCATAAGTAAAAATCCTACAAAACCCCCTAGAAGTATACTTATTCACCTTAGTTAAGTAAAATCCTCCTCAATGGGATCAAGACCCACAAAAATTTCAGAACACACATAAAACTAGCTCTATTTCCCTTCTTCTAGCTTTGGGGCAGGTGCTAAGTATAATACAAAATAAATCACTAACTGGTCTGCAGCACACTTTGCTTTCATTAATTCAGCCTCACTGTCTAATAAATCCTATTCAAAAGAGCATGTTGTTGTTGTTGTTGTTAAGTGCCATCGAGTC